TTTATGTAGTAAAAGGGTAATTGAGTTTAAAATTCAGTTGAAAAATCCTCATAATAGTGGTTCATCTACATTTTAAAGTGTAATTTTTTAATTTTGATATTATAGTGTTATTAATTAAATCCTTTTCAGAAAAATTTATATTTGTGATATCTTCTAAATGTGGAAATACAAAATATTTTATAGAAGTCATAAACATTTGATCAAAAGGAATAATTATAGAAATAAGAGATAATGAAATGTCTCAAATATAATTATTTCCCACTTGCAACAACCAATCAACCCATTATATATAAGCTGATTCAAGAAGCATATTAATATGTAGTTGCATTTCTAAAAGTGTTCCACAATCTATTAATTCTAACAGATATTGCTACAATTTCAGCTCTATGGCCATGTGGGATTATAGGCAATTTTATTCTAAAAGCCCCAAAAGTAATAATAACAATACAACTGTTGTTTTGTTTAAAATATCTCAAATGATGATCAACTATTGTAAATGCATATGTATGAACCATATTAATTTCATCCTAAATAAGTAATTGAATAGCTTTAATTTTTTTTCCAACTCACTATTATGTTTCATTTATTGGAAGTGAATTTTAAATGTTATATGAGATGTGCGACCATTGTAAAGCAAAGTGCTTGTTATACCAGTTTATACAGTTTTAATATTAATTAATATTTGATCATGTATTATTGTATTTAGCACAAAAATTCCACTAGTGCAACTCAAACCATCAATAAATATAAAGAAAATTTATTTCAGTGGAATATTCATCTATTAAATATTTGAATATAGTTAACTAGTTATTGCTAAAATTAAAAAACTTATTATTAAATATCTGTTATAATTGTATTGTCTGTAAATTAAGTTGTTTAGTGCATGGTTTTCAACAAGCATAGGCAATTGATAATTTTTATTTTTTTTCATATACTTTCATTTTGGAGTTTATATTTATTAAAGCTAATTCAAAATAAAAAATTGAGTCAAGTTTTCTAAAAGTTATTCATGGCTATTAAGTCAGGTGAAGTCCAAACTAAGGCATGTGATTTAGTCCTTAACTCAAAGTTATTTATTACAAGAGCGACTTTGGTATAGAATTATTTGAGATATCTACTAGCCCTCTAAGGGAAGTTTGAAGGTAGCTTTATTAAAATTTTATTAACATGGGTGGTTTGAATAATTTTATGGTTATAGATATAATCTGGCAAACCAGATTAATAGTGCAATGGTTAAGTGAATCAAAGACTATAGAGTTTATTCAAGTACCCGAAACATTGAAAGCATTGATGAAGGACTTCAACAAGCAAAAGTCGAAGTAGAGACATGAAAAGTATATATGGATTTCATTGTGTTGAACATAGCAAGATTTGACATGATTTTTAGGATAGATTAATTCAATTGGTTTGTGATAACTTTGCATGGAAAATATAGGAGCTTGGTGGTATTGATGAATGCTTGAGGAAAACAATCCATGGTGGAAGCCCAAGATCTAAAGGTAAAGCAATATAAGGCAATATAAGGCTAAAGACTCATGTTTAAACCTCATATCCACCAAAGGACAACTCATTAAAGGAATCATGGCAACATTTTTATGCTTATTTTAAGTGGGGAGTAAAAAAAAAGATAGAAACAGAAAAAATACCTTTAGTGATTCAATAGGTGTTAAACCAATTCTAAAATACCATATTAGAGAAGTTATTGACAGGATTACCCCCCGCACGATTGATAAAATATAAAATCGAGTTAGTCAAGAGTGCTAAGGCGGTGGTTCATCCCCCCTATCTGTTAAATGAAAAAGAACTTAAGGAGATCAAGTGCTAACTTGAGGAGTTGGTGGATAAAGGGTATATTAGATTGAACAAATCACCATATAGGGCACCAATTTTATTTATGAAAAAGAAAGATAGATCTATGCACATGTGCATAGATTATTGGTTATTCAACAAATATACAAAGAAGAATAAATACCATTTACCAAGGATTGAGGATTTATTCAATAGGTTGAGAAAGGTGAAATACTTCTCGAAATTTACCTAAGGTCAGAATATTACTAAATCATGGTAGTAGAGGAAGATGCCGAGAAAACAACCTATCAAATGAGGTATAGAAGCTTTGAGTTTTTAGTGATGCCCTTTGGGCTGTGCAATATACTAGCAAGATTCTCGATATTAATGAATCAAATTTTTGTACCCTACCTTAATCACTTCGTGGTTGTATATATTGATGACATGTTAATTTAAAGGAGTATGCCAAACACTTGACTAAAGTGTTCAAGAAACTAAGGGAATATAAATTGTATGCTAAAAAAAGTAAATGTGACTTTGCTAAAAAAGAAATAAAGTTTCTTGAGCATGTGTTAAGCAAGGATATTTTTAAAGTGGACTTTAAGAAGGTCCAAGCGATCCAAAAATAGGAATGACTATTGAATGTACACGAGTTAAAGGCATTCTTAGAGCTATGTAACTACCATCAAAAGTTTATTAAACACTATTTGAATGTAACTCTACCTTTAACGGACTAAATGGGAAAAAGAAAGATAGTATGAATAGCAAAATGCAATGTGGCATTTGTCCATTTCAAAAGGAAATTGAGGA